TTTGTCTGCAGTGCAATTACTCCATTGAACACAGTGTAGGGTTCCTAGGTTTGTGGAGACGTATACCTGAAGGTTTCATCCCAGGACGTAATCTTTAATTCCTGGAGATTCCAGGACAGTCATGGAGGGTTGGTAACCATAAGTCAGTGGAGTTATTGCAGAGGTAAACCTGCTCCTTTGTGTCAGTTAGTGTGAGCTTTTTCCTCCCGTAAGGAAAATGTTCTGCAGTCAGGTCAGCAAAGCCAGCATGTGCCAGCTTTTAGGCACTACGTTATATTGTCTGCATACAGTGGAGACAACTACTTGCCTTCCCTCCTTCACCTACTCAGTCCATGTAGAATGGCAAAAAAGGACATTTATTCTCTCAGACTTTCCTCCCTGCACTAGCTGTCGGCATTAGACAATGTCACAGTTTCTTCAGCCTCCCACCCTTGGGCTTAGGTTGACTCCTGGCTGAGATTTTACAGATCCACACTTCTTTCCTTAGAGCCTTGATGAGCTGGAGCAGTAATCAGTGCAGTCGGGCTTCTAAGTTGGCCTACTTGAATGGCCAGAACAAGCACCCTAGGCAAGCAGACAGTTATATGCCTCAGGCTGTGAGGCCTAGACCATTGTTTCATCATGGCTGGGGCAGCACTAACCTTAGAGCTGGCGCTAAGGGCAGCCAAGCAGTGTCAGGGGGTTATATCTCTGGGCGGCATTTCTCACTGGTGCCATATTATGACTCTTAGGACTCCAAGATACCATGCCCCAGGGAGAAGAAACAAGAATAGAGTAGCCTCTCCCAGTGAGGGAGACAGACCATAGTTTGCTGAGTCAGCACAGGACAGCAAGTAGTTGCTTGTATTAATCTGACTACGGTCAGCCCAGCTGCCTTCCCATTGACAATGGAAACTATTAGAATGTGCCGTGATGCCCTCAGGTTCCTTCCAGGGAACACTTAGGGTACACCCTATTTATTATCTAGGGATGTGAATGGTTAACCAGTTAACCAGGAAAACACATCACAACCATACCTCAGTCTAACACAATCTTTCTAGGGAAAATGCAACCCACATGCATCTTAGCTAAGATTCCCTGGAAATGTGTATCATACTCCCACACAACTCTCTGATCTAAGCGTCACTGGGGAACTGCACCGCACCACGCTCACACCGCTCTGTTGTGTCTGATTAACGATTCCCTGGGGAAAATTATTCTTTCCCATGAATCTCTTAGTCAAGCAGCCACAGGTTCATAGATTTTAAAACCAGAAGGGAGCATGATGATGATATAATCTGATCTATTCCAGTATAACAGAGGCTGTAGATTCACAGTGATTCCTCCATAGAGCTCAGCAGTCTGTGGTGGAACTAGGGTGTATTTTCTAGAACATCTACAAATGTTTCTGGAGGAATCCACTACAAACAAATATATGTAATTTGGTAATGCATCTTTTTACGGGGGGAAATCTTCTAGCACAGGAATTACAACTCTGGATATAAGTCAGATACTTATATAAGTCCTGGATACTGCAGGAAGACAACTCCCTAAATGAGGATGAAGGGGTATTTAAATTGTAGAGAAAGGAAAGCTGAGGTTGCTGAAAAAGACCCTATCAGACAAACTGGTCACAACGTGAGACAGCCCCATCATGCACCACTCTCATAAGTGACCACGGACAGCATGAGGTCTGAGAACTAGATTTGCTGACACGCTTTTTTTGTCGTACAGGTAAATCTCACATATCCCCGACCCTTAATAATTCTCCCACGGTTTGTTAACTCTGTTGCAAGTGAGTGCTATTTAGAAACTATTCAGATTTCCCAGCCACAAGAGGCTTAAGATGCAGGGTTTGTAGAGGGTTGTCATAAGCCATCCTTCTAAGGCCATTGTTGCATACAAGGCTGAGTGCTGACAGGATTGATTCCCTGGATTAGCTGAATAGCCCTTGAATGTGGATTCCAGGCCAAGTTTCTCTAATAAAGTGGTTAAAAGAAAACGACTTGTGGGTGGGAGAGACCTAAATCTACAAGCATGTGAAGTGTGTAAGTGTCAAGGGCTGAAAGAACTGATTCCTGTAGAACAAGGGGGAATAAATAGGAGTAATAATGGGATGAAAATAAGAAATACAAAGTGGAGGCTGAATATCCTGCTGGTGAGAGCTGTTAGATTGTGAACCAGCCTCCAAGGAGAAGTGGGGGAAGCCCAATAGCTCATTACATATAAAACTAGACCAGTGAAAGCTCCAGAGATCAAGTTTAGGAATCAGTTTTCCGCTGGCAGGGATAGGGACTTGACTGGTCTAGCAGGTCTGTGGTTCCGTTAAATGTATGATTATAGCCTGCCAGCTGTCTGAAGGTGGGGCTCAGCTAAGTGGGAGGGAAGGAAATCCAGCCTATGTTAATCTAAAAACCTGTTTTAACTTTAGGTTAAAAACCGAACAGACATTTTTGTGTGAGATGTGCTCTTCCTCACCTAGCTATGGCAGGAAGGGACCAGGAGTGGCTTCTTTCCCAGAGTTATGGAGGAAAAGCCAATAAAACAGGAAAAGGAATTTTACAGTACATAAAAACAATAGGAATTTGTAAACTGTCCCTTAAGCTAGGGATGGCATTTGCTTGCCAGTGGAATCCAGCTGTGAGTCAGACATTTGGGTTTGGAAGAAGGAACAAGAACAAGAAGGAAGGAAACTGATGGATCAGAAACAGAGGTAAGTCTCCCCACTTTCTCTTTTGACCCTAATATAGCTGCTCCATCTGTGCATAGCCCAACACATTCACATGCACACATGTTACTAATTACTCATAAATACAAGTTTTCTGGGTAAGTCACAGGCTGGGGGTATTGAGAGGACCTGCCAGATTAGTACTCTGCACTTCTAACCCAGCCTTTGGTCTCCTTAAGCTACGGGTGCCACTTGGGATTCCTGGAGCTTCAGAAATGTTTGGTGATGCTGGATTTCTCTTTAGAGGTGTGTCTAAGCAGCAACCTTCAGACCTGCATCTGAGCTTCCCCAGAGTATCAGAGCTCTCCATTCAGGCCTGTCTCTGGAGAGTAAATTGCTTCGCTAAAGGAGACTAGTATATCCTACACTGTGCTCTTTCAGTGGTTCTTTTGGTCCTTGTCAGAATCAGTTGCCCCAAACAAATCAGGGTGCAGTCTAGAAAACTAGCTATCAAAGTGCTTCTCGCAGGCAGCCTGAGCTCTTACCACTTCTGGGAGAAGGGTGATAATGGGAGCTAGAAGAGTTGCCATGCTCACAATTCCTACCATGTGTCTTGTGATTTTTGGTGTTTTTCATCATGCACCAACTCTTGGGCTACGTCTACACTGGCATGAATTTCCGAAAATGCTTTTAACGCAAAAGTTTTCCGTTAAAAGCATTTTCGGAAAAGCGCGTCTAGACTGGCAGGATGCTTTTCCGCAAAAGCACTTTTTGTGGAAAAGCATCCGTGGCCAATCTAGACGCGGTTTTCCGCAAAAAAGCCCTGATCGCCTTTTTCACAATCGGGGCTTTTTTGCGAAAACAGTACTATGCTGTCTAGACTGGCCCTTTTGCGCAAAAGTCTTTCGGAAAAAAACTTTTGCCCAAACAGGAGCAGCATAGTTTTTCCGGAAAAGCACTGATGATTTTATATGAGATCATCAGTGCTTTTCCGGAAATTCAAGCGGCCAGTGTAGACAGCTGGCAAGTTTTTCCGGAAAAGCAGATGATTTTCCGGAAAAACTTGCCAGTCTAGACACAGCCTTGAAGTCAGGGTACTGCCTTACAGTCAGTCAACTTTCATTGGAAAAATCAGGTAAGTGTCTAACCCTCAGGGCTGTGAAAAAAAAACCCACCACCACGAAACACTAAAAACAAGTAGTTCTGTACTACAGAACTACTTGTTTTAACATTTATACTGCTACTTCTCTGAGATTTTGAAACACTAAATGCTCCACCACTACAAGGAGCAATCATTATTTTTAAGCAAATCTTGATTTTTTTTTTTTAACACTTGGGGATTGGTAATTCTGGCTGTGGATGTCAGTGAACACTGCCCACAGCCAATTTTAACATCTCATCACCCACAGCATCATCCCATGTACTGTGTAATCTGCTTTGGGACAGTGAAGAATGTACAATTGCCCCAGGCTCTAGCTTTCTGTTAGGGGAGTCTTCTACTCCATGCCCATGCTCCAGATGAATGATATTTGAACTCCCTCTCTGGCAAAACATCAGACTTTGTCCTAACCCAGTTCATACTCAATGTTTGTGTGTATCATGCCATTCCAATGAGTCACGGCTCCCTGGCACTAGCCTGCCCCTGCACTCCCCCCTTTCTTCAGGTCATTCTATATGTGATGAGGGCAGACTGAGGCAGGGGAGAGAGGGGCTAGCAGGGGAATTACTGAACCCAGAGTGCATCTCCCTGGGCCCTGTGTTGGCAGCAATACCTGTTATTCACCTATTCCCTGTTAATGCAGGGCCCCATCCAATGGCAGTGCCTACTCTCCAAAGGATCCTCCCTCTCTAGTCCTCTCCCTTGGATTCACCACTCCGCTGTCCAACTGGCCGTGGTTGGTGTCTGCTTCCTCTAGAGCCCCTTCCCCCAGTGCTGCTTTTACACTGACCAGAATAAAGCATTCGCACAAGGAGCTGCATTTGGAACATCACTGGCTTCAGTTCCTGCCTCTCTCACAACCCAGCTGAGGTCCAGGTCAGGCGGGTCATTCAGTGAGAGAGCTGGGTCTGGAGGAGGCCAGCAGGGGGTGCTGTGGTTGGTGTCTGCTTCCTCTAGAGCCCCTTCCCCCAGTGCTGCTTTTACACTGACCAGAATAAAGCATTCGCACAAGGAGCTGCATTTGGAACATCACTGGCTTCAGTTCCTGCCTCTCTCACAACCCAGCTGAGGTCCAGGTCAGGCGGGTCATTCAGTGAGAGAGCTGGGTCTGGAGGAGGCCAGCAGGGGGTGCTGCAGGGGAGGGCTGAGGAGCATCAGGGGAGTTTGGAGGAAGGAGGAAGCTGGGAGAGGATCTGGCCTGCCCTCGGCCTGACTCCAGCAACTACTGTTTTTGAATGAAAATCTTGAAAACTGCCCATACGCAGTGAAAGAGAGAGTGTGCCCATACGACTGGAAATGGCTGTGGTCTCAGCCCTGGATTCAAGCCATCTTCTCCATCTGTTCGCATGTCTTGGCCGTTCCACTGACCCCCGGCCCTGTGTGCAATAAGGGCAGACATGCAGAGAAAGGCCAGGTGCTGGTGTCTCTCGAGATGAGGCTACAGAGAGCAAAGGTTCTGCTCCCTTCATCCCCTCTTCCAACCCCACTGAAAATATATCCCTGCTTCCTAAAGTGCTTTCCAGGCTGCTGCTGCCTCTGCTTCCCAGTAGAGCTCTGCAAACAAGGGCATACTAGTCCCTGGAGGAGACATCCTTTACTGGGAGTCTTGGAGCCAGCCATGGTGGTAGAGGGGCGGGAGGGTAGTATACCTCATGGTCTTTCAGATGTGACTTTTTACCTCGGGGATTTTTTTGGCTCCTTCTTACAAAAGACAGAATGCTTATGACAGGGGAGGCTGAGTACCATCTGTTCAGTGGTTCCTCAACAATCCTGTTGCTAGCATGAGACCAGTTTAGTGAGCAATCCTGGCAGCTAGAGATGCTCTCATGGCCCACAAAGAGAGCTGTCAGAGCAACTAGAATAATAGGGCTAGCTGTTCTGTGTGGCTTGTCCCTCTTGGGAGGTTTTCTATGTGACTCTTCAGTCCCTTGGACCTGAGCATGAGATTAGACCTTGTATGTATCTCAGGTATAGAACAATCTCACCCATCTGGGGATTAGAGCCGTTGTAATTGGGATGCAGGGTGGGTGGGGAATTCCATAACAGGAGAAATGTAGTCCGAGGCAGGCTTGTCAATATGGATGCACTACCTCGGACTTAGAGCCCCAAGAAGCACTCTGGGAAGTGGCGGGAAGCCTCCCAAAGGCCAATTAGTTTGAATTAGCAGCACTGGAGCATCTGCACTAGCGTTATTTCTGATTTACAAGTTTGGGAATAGTGTTATTCCTTATGAAAAGCGGGACTACAGAGTTTGAATTCCATGGTGCCTTATTCCAGAATAACGGGCTTGGTATTGTGGACACATCGCTTACAAAATTGAGCTTGGGGGGCTAATTTCGGACTAAGGTCCTAGTGTAGACCAGGACTGAGTGACAGATTCTAAACCTAGTTAACTAAATTAAGCAAGCCATAATAATTAGCTAAGCTAAACTTTTTTTTTTCTAGCAAAATCCAACACAGCAAACAGGTTGGGAAATTACTTGTTAAATCACACTTATACTAAAATGCATAGAGAGAATCTTGAAGAATTATATATTGCAAAGTAAATGATTTAAGTTACTAACTAGTTGATCCACTCAGTCATATCCACATCTTCAGCCACATCATTTTCTTCCAATGAACAGTTTTTCTTATGATGTTTCATTCTTGCAACTAGGCCCTATATCTTCTTGCACTGCTTACACTTGACACATTTTCCATTTTTACCCAGGGAATGAATTTCTTCAAAAATATTCCCAGATAGGATCTCTCTTATGCCCAGAAGCCACGACAGTGTTTCTGTGGCAAAAGAATGGGGGAATATAGTAAGCTTTTTGTGTGCCTAATAATGTATTTTCTAGTCCACTCTACTGTTAATTTCTATGCTGCTCTGTCCTATCTTATATATTGTCTCTCTGTCTTTAAAACAATATCTTAACTAACTCCTCTGCAGTGCTGGGCCAACATCCACCACCACATAAGCACAGAACAAAGACAATCCTGTCCAGCTTGTCTCTTTCTTTACTCATGTTACTTTTTAGTCTGCTAGGAAACAGAAATTGAAAGCCAGAACTTTCAAGAAGCAAGAGCTAGTATGAAGAAGCGGGCTGTGCCCACGAAAGCTCATGATACCATCTACATGTTTTGTTAGTCTTTAAAATGCCACCGGTCTATTTGTTGAGTGATAGTTTTAAAGTGCTACATAGTTCTGTCTTTTGTTTCAGTCTGTTTGTTGTTTTTTAAGTTTATCCTGTACAGACTAACTTGGCTACCCCCTGAAGCTTCAAGAGCTAGTAATTAGGCTGGATAAACTAAAGCTATTAATTCATTTTTATTAGACTTTAACTGTATGTGTAGCATGTTTGTGATGAGATTTAATTATAACTTATTTTAAATGATACATTTAAGATTTTCTTGATGATTTTTAATTTTTTAAAATGGAATTAAATTTTTAAAAATCAATTTTTAAATTTAAAAAAAATGAATTTTATCTACCCTGGATGTCAATGAAACAATTACATGATGTGTGATAGGTTGTAACCCACTGATGTATTCTATGCTTTGAAATAGACCACATGCAATAAATACCAGAGACCAGCGTATAACATGCATGTATGCATTAAAGCACATGACAATTGGTGCTATAAGATCTGATGCTCTATCCCCCAGCTGAACAAAGCAGCCTCTTTCAGAGGGAAAAGTGCCTGAGAAAGGTGAAAGAATCACCTGTGTGTGGCAGTCAAGGGAAAAGGTCTGCAAGGAACAATGGGGAGCAAGAAGAAGATCAGGTGAGTGCCTTCCTACAGTTTCTTACCTTTTGGGGCATAGTTCTAGCCTCTTGCTCAACTGCTAGCTGGTTGTCAGTTGCAGCAGCTGGGCCTGCTCTTCTGGTCCTGATTTCTCTGCATTTACACAGAGTTTGGTTTAATTCACTTTTAAAGGCCTATGAGCACTATCAACAGACATCCTAAACCCGCTGCCTGATTTTACGGGAGATTAATAATATAGTTAGACTACATGGGCTATAGGCTTGCCAGTTAATCTGATCAGGATAATAAGGTTCTTGTCCCAGAATCAGGCTAAAAGAATTTTCAGAGACCCTTGGGATGTATGACAAGGAAATGCACACTGAGAACAAAAAGCAGCTTTAAGCCTTTTATTGAGATAAATTGAACAGTCATGGAATAGTAATCAAGCAATCAAAGCAATTACAAAAGCAATAATGTTCTGGCAGTGCATGTGGTATTATATACTATAAAACTTTCTTGATTAATATACTGACACCCTTCCTTGATAGCCTTGTGCCCTATTATTGGGTTGCCCCTATTATTGGGCCTGATCACCAAATACCTCTCCTTCCATGCCCATATTTAAGTTCCCACAAAAATGTTAGGGTTCATTTACTGTATAAGCTGACATGTTTGTGCATATTAATGACATATTTGTAACAAAGATCGTTAGCTCATCCTCACCTCTGTTATTTCTATCTTAACCGGTTATGTCCATGTTCTTTGTGGTGTACCTGTTATGTCTGAAAAAGGCCATGAAGATGGGTGCCCCTTCCCTACCAACTTGCTTTAACTTGCCCACTTATCTGTGTGAAAGGTCACAATCCAAATTGCCTTTAACTTACCCACAGGCAACATCTTGTATGTTATCTAGCGTTACAGCTAAAATACTCAAATACAAATTGATAAACCTATTATAATAACAAATCTATAGTGTAACAAATGGTCAAACTCATAAGAAAAGATATATCTAGCAGGCTAGCTCTATAGGTGATTGTCCTAGCACCTCCACCACCTCTAGGACTTCATAAGCAGCCCAGTTCTTTTTCACAGCCCTGCCTGGGCCATTGTGTCAGCTTGCCGGGCTGTGGTACTTCAGGGAGTATGTTACAGGCAAGTGAGAACATAAAAACCATGGGAAATTCAAGGCCCTTTGGTGCTCAGTAAGCTCCGCAGTCTGTGCTGAGGTGGATGGCTGAACGCCTTCCCCTTTCTGCCTGGGAGGGAGATGTTAGCCAATCAACCTGCAGAATCAGTCCACTCACTAGCAACCTCTCTCGGCACATCCAAGGACCTCCACATTAGACTGAGGAAGGCCTAGCCTGAGGTGTGGTGAATCCCTGTGAAAACAGTGGTTCAGGCTGGGTCCTCCTGCCAGGGCTGTGCACGTGCAAGAGGTTTGGTAGCTGGGTGGAGGTGTGCTTGTAACAGAAGGGAGGGGGATTGCAGCCGTGGGGGCCTACTTGCCCGGAGCCATCATTTTCAAGGGGCCGCTGACAGAGCCAGCCTTAGGGGTGGGCTGCGACCGCATTTTGGCCCGACCTCCCGAATCCTCCCCCCAACTTTTTTTTTTTTTTGCTTGACAAATTTTCCCAGGTGTGTTTGTGTTGTTTTTTTTTTTTTCTTTTTGCTTGACAAATTTTTGTCCGGTATTTTTTTGAAACCATCTGTCAACCCTATGGGTGAGCCAGATGGTCACTCAGAGTTGCCAATTGGTTAGGACCAGCCATGCCTCCTTATGCTAACTACGTGGGAAATGAGGAAGCAGATATCACACTCATGTTCCCATGCTCTGCCCAGGGATTGGGTCCAGAAGACAGGGTGACCATCTGTCCCGTTTTAACAGGACAGTTCCTTACTTAAGCCTTCTTGAAGGTGTGTCACCTTTGAAAAAAAACCACACACACACACACAGGTAAATTGTCCTGTATTTCTGCTCCCCCTGCTGGTCAATCGGCATCAGCAGCCTCCTGTTGCTGGCAGAGGAAAGTGGTACTCTCAGTCAGGATGCAGAGGCAGGAAGCCAGTAGGAGAGGCAGTCTGTGTGTGATAGATGGGTAAGTGAGTTTGGGGGTGAGTGAGGACTGTATGTCACTTATGTGCACCCTAAAGCAGAGTTTCTCAAGGGGGGATCTACCCCTTTCAAGCTGCCCCCCCCTAAATTCCCAGAGTTTCTCAGGCAGAAGCCACTGTTAGGGATGTGAATGGCTAACTGGTAAGCCTAACTGGTAGAGGCTGGAGCATCTCCCCGCCTGCCCCAGGCAAGGGGCTGCTCCAGTCGCATGGGGTACACCGGAGGCAGGGGTGCTCCAGCCTAGCTGTGGTGGGTGAAGCAGCCTCTCCACCCAGCCCCCTTTTAATTGATTAACTGGTTAAATATTACATTTAACCAGTTAACCAATGAAATGGGATTTTACATCCCTAACCACGATACCTGTCCCCACCCACTCACCTGGTCATGAGTGGTGGGGCTAAAGCTGTCAGTGGCAGGGCTGAGTCCTTCATCCCCAGTGCTCCCTGTGGGAGAGAAACCTCCAGAGCCTGTGGGCAGAGTTTGGGGCCCTACTGTACTATGAGGCTGGTAGAGCCCTCGGGGAACAGGGGCCTTAGCCCGTAGCTACCCCCTGGCCACACGCAGCTTCTAGCTACTCCCTCCCTGCCTGCTAGGCTACTCCCTGGTCGCACACAGCCTCTAGTTACTCCCACCTGCACCCTGCGCTAGCGGCCAATCTGCACATAGACTCCAGCTACTCCTTCTCTGCGCTCTGACCTACACCCTGAGCTTCCCTAGCCCTCCTCTGTCCACACCTGAGCTTCCCCCTCCCTGTAGCCTGATTACAACTTTAGTTAAGGCCATGTATGTATGTATGTGACTGCCTGCCTGCCTGCCTGGCCCTCAGCCCAGACCTCCATGACACCCTTTCCCTGCTGGGCCCTGGTGTTTTTATAGCATGTTTAGGTGCGGAGGGGTGTCCTGCATAGTTCTGATTGATTGCCATTGAACTTGCTTGCATTCGAGCAGTTTTACCAGGTGTCCCTTATTCACCATAGGGAAATATGCTCACCCTAGCAAAGGAGCTACAGTGCCTAAAAGGGGCAGGGCCATGGGGGAGTCCCTGTTGGTCTTTGCACTGGACTGGCCTTCCGGTAGAGGTAGAAGTCATTCTTTTTGTTTGTGGTTTAGATTTTCAAAGCTACCAGGGTCATTTAGCCACACCACACCCATTGAAAGGACCTGGAGAAATCCCTTGGGCAGCTGTCAGTCTCCCCTTTTACTCTCCACTGTGTCTATTTAAATGGACCTGTTACCACCTCACATTCTTAGTCTAGGTGGCTTCCCAAAACTCCAGTAATGCAGGGAAATGCTATTAGCTTCATTTTACAGATGGGGAACTGGGGCTTAAAGTGACAAAGACTTTTACAAACATTGTAAAAAAGACAGATTTTTAAAAACATGTAGGTGTAGCTGTGCTCAGTGTCACAGCCTCTAACTGGTTTAGGAGCCTAACTCTCATTTTTTTTAAAAAGGGATTTAGACTCTTAGGAAGGCTCAGGGACGGGGCAAGTAGCTGTCATTCCATTGCAGTGTTGAACTTTTCTCCTTTCTCATTTCAGTCTTCCAGCAAAGTTAATCAATGGAGGTGTGGCCGGGCTAGTGGGAGTGAGCTGCGTCTTCCCAATTGATCTGGCGAAAACCCGTCTTCAGAACCAGCAGGGACAAGGAGTCTATACTGGAATGTATGTGTTCTTAGAACCCCCAAGTGGGGGGGCACTAGTAAGTGAACATAAAACTGCCCCAAATTCCCCTCCTCGCTCCCACAAACAATGCTGGGGGTGGCTGGAGCAGAAGACGTCTTCCTCCATTTTCTCTTTCATTCCTCCTCCACTGAGCATAAGAGGCTTCTGCTCCCAGCTGGCTCCCCATCGTTTTGTTTTGTCGGGGAATCCACCAACTAGCTCAGTCTTAGGGCGTCGTCTACTAGTAGTAATTCTTCTTTGATAAGATTTCCTGGGCCCCCATGTGGGTTCTTCTTGGCATTTGCCTGGAGCCACAGGGATATGCAGCAGAGGAACAAGGAATCTCTAGGCTCCAGGGTGGTGAGACAGGAAAATCATGTAACCGAAATCCCTCCACAACATAAAATAAAATAAAATAAAATAAAATAAAATAAAATAAACATATTACTAGATAAAGGGCGGAGAGAAATTCAGTGGGCAGCTTGGAGAATAGGGCTACGCAGGTATGCCTAAGCATACGTGGCTGTCCTGTGTGTGTCTGTCAGTATCCTGAAAATGTTTGCCTCTACCCATCCCCTTCCTTTCTCAGCTATAATGTATGCTGGGAAGTTTTTCTCTTGAGTTTATTCACTCATGTGTCAAGAGCCTCATCCTGATGAAATGGGTGGGGAAAGTCTGCACTTCTCCATAGGAACATACAGTGCCAGCGCTCTCAGCCTCCAGCAGCCCAGAGGGTCCTGAGGCCCTGGGAAATGCTGCTTTCCTTCTCCTGTTGATAAAGGCCAGGCAGAGATGTCTTAAGCTACCAGTGCTTCTGGGACTACAAAGAAAGAGGCCCAGAAACAGCAAGCAGTCATCTTACAGTCTGTGGACACTAGAGGGGGCTGGAGGGCAGCAGTATTTATTATTTAGTGAATGCTTGTAAAGCACTCTGAAGATGTGAAGGCCTATGCAATGTATTGCCACCCTTCCTAGAGATTTTTAAGGCCCTGCCCACCCTGCAGACCAGGGTGAATTCCATTAAACATCGTTGCCTTTCTACTTAAAAAAACCAACCCCCACATTCCCAAAAGCAAACACCCTTTTTTCCTGCTGGCAAGAGAAATTCCAAAAGATCAGCTCCCTACCTGTGACTGTGTTGCTAGTTGAGGCTCTAACACCGTTTCTCTGACCAATGGTTAGAAGAAGATAAATTGTTGTTGAGATCCCTGCTAGCCCAGATTTGCTATAGAGCAGTGTTACTGCCCCCAGAAGAAGTGGGGAGCTCACAAAAGGCAATCAAGGGTCACAAGGCTGAAGATTGTATTACAATAAAAAAAATCTTGTTTCCCCTTTCTCTGCACGCTCTTACCCTTCAAGTTCAGATATTTACAGTCAGTCCCTCAAAACACGCACAGATAAATTACCTTGGTTTATTTTTACTTTTTTCTCTTTTATGGTAAAAGTAAGTGGAAACGTGAAAAGTTTTGATGTCAGCCTTTTCATGTTGGCGAGCCCTTATTTGAGGAGCACTACTCTAGAGTAATGTCCAACATACAGCCTCTATAGCATGATTTCATTATAACATTTTACTATGGTCAAAGTATCCCTGTCTTGTTAGAGCTGTACTAGCCATCGCTGTGTTAAATATGGTAGTAGGTAGGATAGTTCTTTTCACAGAATGGGACTTTTGTCTCATTTCAGTCTATTCTTTCTACAGAGGGAGCTGACTCACTTGGGGTTGCCAGATACTTTCACAAAAAATCCCAAACATGGCAGGAAAAAAATTGGTTGAATTAAAAAAAAAAAAATGGGGGACCAAACTTGTTGAGCAAAAATCCACACACTAACCCGCTCTCCCTGCCCCCGTCAGATGAGGCAGGGGAAGAATGTCCCCGCCAGCCTTCTGTCCGAGAGAAACAACAGAAAATACTGGTCATTTTACATGTCTGGTATTTTCTTTTCTTTTTTTTTTTTTACCGGACAGAGCCCACAAATACCGGACTATTTGGGTGAAAACCGAACACCTGGTAACCCTAGACTCACTGTAAGGGGAGGTGGACGTGTGTATGCACATACAGGCAGTCCCCGGGTTACGTACAAGATAGGGACTATAGGTTTGTTCTTAAGTTGAATTTGTATGTAAGTCAGAACTGGCTCCAGATTCAGCCGCTGCTGAAACTGATCAGTGGCTGACTACAGGAAGCCGGAGGCAGAGTTGCCCCGCCCCCGGCTTCCTGGAATCAGCCGCTGATCAGTTTCAACAGCGGCTGAATCTGGACTCCTGGGACAGAACAGCTGGGACACTGCCGGGTAGGTCCCCGCAGGACCAACCCGGCAGCACCCCAGCTGCTCTACCCCAATGTCCCGCAACAAAAGCCTGGTCTGCTGGGGGGGGGGCGCACTAGCTGCGCCCCCTCCTCCCCAGCAGACCAGGGAGACCCGAGCAAAGCCGCGGAGGCGAAGAGGTTCCGCCACTTCTGCGGCTCTGCTCCTGTCTCCCTGCTGTGCTGGGGGAATCCCCCCCAGCACAGCAGGGAGACCGGAGCAAAGCTGCACAGGCGGCGGGACCCCGCTGCCCGTGCGGCTTTGCTCGGGTCTCCCTGCTGTGCTGGGGGAATCCCCCCCAGCACAGCAGGGAGACCGGAGCAAAGCTGCACAGGCGGCGGGACCCCGCTGCCCGTGCGGCTTTGCTCGGGTCTCCCTGCTGTGCTGGGGAGTCCCCCCCAGCACACCAGGGAGACCCGGAGCAGCTTTTCTTGCCCCGGAGGACGCGGTGGCAGGACCGCTGCGCTCTGGGCGATCCCGCCCCCGCGAGCTCCGGGGCGAGAAAAGCCCTGTTCGTAAGTGCGGATCCGACATAAGTCGGATCCGCGTAAGTCGGGGACTGCCTGTACTACTGCCCAAGCATGTGATCACATTGCCCCATAATAGCCTCTAACCACAGAACCTGTGAACTCTAGCTCTAGTGAAGCTAAAAGGGTTTTTATTAACAAACCAATTGCACAATCCTGGAGCAGCAGTTGCTCACCCCATTTCTCTCTCTGCTTCTAGGCGGGATTGCTTGGTGAAGACTCTGCGATCAGAGGGATTCTTTGGCATGTACCGAGGTAGTCTTTGTGGGAATTTGGGGTCCCCTTTGCAGCAGATTGTCCCAATGTGTCAGTTATATCCTCTCAACAAATGCACATAATGTTACCATTACACTTCTTAGCAACACAGGCATCCCTTATTTCAGACCCTACTGGCCCCGAGGCCCACACAAAGTTACAGCTGTCATTGAGAGCAGCTGATAATTACAGATAAGAGAAATACTGGATCAAAAAAGGGAATCTTCACAGAAGAGCAGTGGAAATGATCAGAGGCAGAGAAATATGAGAGAGAAATAAAATATTGACCAGAAAAGTCCAGTTAGAATGCTTCAGTTTATTTAATTCATAGGCTCGACAGAATTTGATTTTTATTTTTTTATCATTTTGACAAGTAACATGGATGTTCATTTTAAGCATTTTTTTAGACTTACATTCATTTTATTTATTTTTATTTAAATTTACACTTATCCCAGGAGTCGTCCCCCCCCAATGGCAAATATTTCATTCTGAGGACTATCAGGTGAGGCTGAATGGAGCTACTGCTGCTCCACAGGTCACAGTTTGAGTACACTGATGTCCATCAAAGCACTGGCTTTCGTATACTATTCACAATCCCCCACCACCGCTGGGCTATTTTGCCCCATTCCTGGTTCTACCTCCATTTGTTGTGTCTTTGAAAGGCCCTTCTTCTCTTGCCTTTGGAAGCTGTGACTAACTGCGACTTCACACACTCATTACGTGGAATCATTTGTACATGAGATGTCTCTCTTCCCCGTTCTTACTTTGGGTAATCAATGTGGGAGGGATTTTAATACACCACAGAATGTGATTGAATTAACCCTTTGTCTTCCCTTCTGTCATTGACCAGGGGCTGCGGTGAACCTGACGCTGGTCACACCTGAGAAAGCAATCAAGTTGGCAGCCAATGACTTTTTTCGACAGCTGCTCTCACAGGATGGGTATGGAGGAAATGTTATTGTCTAGCTTTTGCCATGCACAAAATTCTGTGTGTTTTAGGTAGCAAGTATTTGTATGAAGATGATGCACATTTAGTTTTAGGTGTGAATAAGTGTAGTTTTGTGTGTTTCTGTATGGGTTTGTGTAGTTATGCAGGTGTATAGTTTTGTGAGTGGCTATCTATATGTTAATCTTCCCAACAATGTGTGCATTTTTCTATCCACATGTGGAATAAAATTTTTACATGCAGATGTGCACCACCAGATGTGCTCTGTTAATCAGCTGAGTGGCATTGGAATATCTCCTGAGCAGCTGCACAAGCACACAGCTTTCAGGGAACACTGGTGACTAATATGCATGCGTATCCAGGATTATTATATTTTTTGCCTTACTCTGAAGCACAGCATTATCAGTGAGTAGATGGACTATTGATCAATTCCTTTGGATGTGCATATACCGGCATGTGTGCGTGAGTCTTCATCTGTCTGTACAGTAGAGAGGACCATAGAAATTAGAGATGAAGAAAACTGTTAAATGATAAAAACACAGACTCCTGTCATGGAAGGATATATCATCTGCATTTGTAAAGGATAAAAGAAAATAGCCAATACCTGTTCATCAACCATAAAATTAATTTGTGGAACTCACTGGTGCAGGATGTTATTGAGACAGCTATCTTAGGTTGGCACTTCATCGGCAAAACTGTTGTCTGTTGAAAAATGCCAGTGTGAACAGCACTTTGTCAGGAGGAGTGGTATTTGAACAACACGGCTGTAGGGGCACAGCCATGTCACTAAAAGTTGCATAATGTAGCCATAGCTCAAGTAATATGTTAAGGATGGAACATAGATGAATAAGAAAAGGATCTATAGTATCTAACAGTATGTTAGGTAGGATGAAATATAATAAAATTATATTCTTACCTCCCTTGGTATAAAAATGCAAAATCTGGGGTGTTTTAGGAGTTTTGTGCCCACTGTCATAGGCAGGCTGTTGGAATAAAGGTATCATTTATGGAAGGATGTGTATGTATCTACATACTGTCTGCAGGGAGCACATGGATAATCAAGGAGGTGTGTGCCCTTGTGTGCTTGTTTTTGTGTGGCTGTGCGGGGCAACATGTCTAATCTGTTTCCTTATAGCTCAGGATACATGTCTAAGGACTCACTGTGGAGCAATCAAGATGCAGCATGACCAGGCTGTATAACTCTCCCCCTCCAGTAGTTGTATAAATCTGTGTCTATCTGTGTCTCTCTCCGCTATGGATTCCTATTATATCTGTGCTATTCCTGCCAGGAAGAAGTTGCCGCTGGAGAGGGAGATGCTGGCTGGCTGCGGCGCTGGAGCCTGCCAAGTGGTGGTCACAACCCCAATGGAGATGCTGAAAATTCAGCTTCAGGATGCTGGACGACTGGGTTAGGCCTTGTTTTACATGGTGGGGGCTGGGAGGGAATATGTTGCTTCATAGTCTGGCAGTAAATTCCTTTGTCACATGCTTGCTGAGATGCTGCTGGAGTCCCTTTAGAGTGCAGATCTCACGGAGCTCTTGATGGTCAGGAAGAGGCTTGTGCCTTCCCCACCACCTCAGTACTTGCTGAAGGGGAGCGCTCAAGGACTCCTGGCCCAGTTTCTCCCAGCAGGCAGTACCACTGGGAGCGACATGGGGACCTTGGCTGTGAGGGGAAGGTCACAGCTCCTGTAGAGCTGACCTCAGCCAGCAGAGATTGGAATTTAATTGTGAAATGTGATTTTGATTCAAGAACAGAAGAACACCTTGGGGAGAAATGCAGAAATGAAAGACTCTTTTACTTATCCAGCTATGTGTGATTGTTTAAGATCTAATTTCTGGACTGGTACGATAGATGAGTAATTGTCTCATGCTCCCATTTTGGGATCTAACTCAAACTCCGTTACCAGCTTTTTACTGTCAGGCTAGTTGTTAGTAGCTATGCAGAGAGGTTGTGCTCTCAGTTTCCTGGAATGGGTCTAAGAAAGGGGAGGGGGAAGTGCTTGGTTCTGATGCTATCAGGTCTGCTAGAGTGATGTGGAATGGGAAGTCCTAGGTGACACTGAAGGTAAATCTACACTGCAGAGTTTTTCCGGAAAAACAATACTTACATCCACACTGCTATTGCGTTCTTTCAACAGCAAGTTGAAAGAACGGAGGGTTTTTTCCGACGGTGGTAAACCTCATTCTACAAGGAAGAAGTCTTTTTCGGAAAAAGGCATGTGTGGACATGGAAGAATGTTTTTTCGAAAGAAGAGGCCTCCAGGAAAAAGCACAGGTGCCCTGGTGGCCACTCCATCCACAGTAATCACAACTGAAATGCGAGATAGTGTCCAATGAATGTAGATGCTATCTTTCAAAAAAGCACATTGCTTTTTCATTGTGCTTTTGCTGTGTAGACGCACTCTTTCGAAAGAAGTTTTTCTAGAAGATCTCTTCCAGAAAAGCTTCTTCCAAAAGAAGCCTGCAGTCTAGACATAGCCAGAGTGTGGTTGTTAGAACTGCGTGACATGCTTTTTCAGGATATTGCAACTATTCACGGATTCAGGGTGAATTTTGGCTCAAAAGAAACTGGGTTTTTTTTAGTAGAAATGTTGAAATTTTTTGTTTTGACATTTTTTAAACAAACTTTGCACATTTCATGCAAAACAGTATTTTTGAATTGACCTGAAATAATTGTTTTTCATTTTGATGAGAAAAACAATTACTTTTGGCTTGAAACTAACTGAATTGTTTTTGGGGGAAAAAAATGGTTTGGTAGCACTTTATAGACTAACAAAACATGTAGATGATATCATGAGCTTTCATGGGCACATCCCACTTCTTCAGATGACCGGTCATCTGAAGAAGGGGGCAGTGCCCATGAAAGCTCATGATACCATCTACATGTTTTATTAGTCTCTAAAGTGCTACCAAACCATTTGTTGTTTTTTTCTGTAACAGACTAACTCGGCTACCCCCTGAAGTTCCTGAATTGTTTCAGATTCTTTTCAGTTGCATCATTGAATCAAAAAACTCAATTATTCTGTCAGTACTGATTGTTCTCACTTTCTGGGCGGGAGTGATCTTTTGTTGGGGAAAGGATTTAAGGGCAAGTCAACCGGAAGCCAGGCAGTGATATGGGCAGGGGAGCATGTTTAGAAAAATGAGGGATCCCCTCTCTCCCACATACCTAATTCTTCTTTCTTGTTTGTTTTTTAGTTATTCAGCAGCAAAAGGTTTTGGGATCAGATGGGCCAACGGCTCCCTTCTCCCAGCCCCCTCAGGACAGGCCTTATGCTGCTGGTCCTGCTTCAGCCTTCAAGCGCCCCTCGGCTACTGCGATCGCCAGAGATCTTCTGAAAACCGAGGGGCTAATGGGACTGTACAGAGGATTGGGAGTCACTCTGCTCAGGTGAGAGGGTGGGAAAAAACAGGGAGTGATGGGTCAGTATGGGAAATGAATCCTACCCTATCCTAGGGAGGAAAGGTGGGGAACCTCCTGCAAACCAGGAGTTTGTAATCTGTCCCCACCTCCTCACTGCATGGTTGCTGTTCTGCTCCTGAAGGACTTGTCCCAACTACTTAATAAAGATGAGGGGAAAGCTGTACCAGCAGTGTGGTCCAGTGGATAAAGCATTACCCTGGGACTCAGGCAGCCTGTTTCTATTCCTGGCTGTGCCGCTGGCCTGATGGGGACCTTGTGTAAATCATATCAACACTCTTTTCCTATTTGTAAATGTGAAGTATTTTGAGAGCTACTGAGGAGAAGTGTAGTATACAAGCTGAGTGGTATTTATTATTAAGGAAAACTGCCAGATCAATTACTGTATCTAGTTGCTGGGTTTTCCCCCCACCCCCCCTTTCCTTCTTCTATTACTGTGAATTACAGGTTGACAGTCTCCATAGAACCAGTCCATTTTACTCTTCTAGCTTCTGGTAGAGCTGTGACCCCAGAAATAGAATGACTAGGCCACGTGGCAATCTAGAGGCAGTAGAAGCAACTCCCATTAACTTCAGTGGCACCACAGAGTGTTACAATATATAAAACTAGAGCTGGCTGAAAAATGGAACTTCATAAACCTGACTACAATATATCTTGTTTGCTCAGTCCAAGTTGTAGCTTAGGGCTAAACACCTCAGCCAAATTGTTTTACAGCATTTTAACATCTCTGCTCACGAGTTTTCCACAAATTAATGAAAAGCAGCTTATGCTTGTAGTTTATTTAATTGAGGAAAAATCCTTAGGTTCAAACCATTCTCGGGAAATCTCCATTTAGTTGAACACTTCAGTTCTACCAGAACACAAAATAATTTTCCTTTCATAACTTTTCAGACCATCCTTCCCTTCCCCCAACTTCAGCGGCGGATGCTGAAGCCTTTGGCTCCAAATTCTGCTCTTCTCCATGCCAAACAGAAAGTTCACTCTACTCTGCATTCATCTGTTCCATTCCCTGGATGGATCCATTTTCACATCAAGCAGGAGATTCTTGATCTCCAAATTGCAGCTGTGTCTCATCTCAGAGACACTTGAGCCATATTTCAGTGAGAATGAAGGCTTGGTTCCCATCTCCTCCCTGACTGGTAGTGATATGCAGAGGTGGGCAATAATTTTTGCAGGGGGAGACCACTTCATGAATTTTGATATGTTGTCATGGGCCAATTCTGGACCCCCAGGGAGAAGGGGTGAGCCTGGGGGCTAGAGAGAGACACAGGGTATGTCTACTCTGCTATCCTAGTTCGAACTAGGGTGGCTAATGTAGGCATTTGAACTTCCAAATGAAGCCTGGGATCCCAGGCTTCATTTGTATGTTCCTGGGCGGGTACCATTTTTAAATGCCCGTAGTTTGAACTACCTGTCGCTACACGCAGCATGGACTAGATAGTTTGAATTAAAGCTCCTAATTCGAACTACCATTATTCCTCCTGCAAGGAGTTTTAACGGTAGTTCGAATTAGGAGCTTTAATTCGAACTACCTAGTCCGTGCTGCGTGTAGCTGCGGGCAGGGAGTTCGAACTACGATGTTGGCAAACAGTGGGAAATAGATAATGGAAAAGGGCACATCCCTGTTAGGAGGGCAAAGCGTTAGATAAACATCCAGCATAGACCAAGATCATAGACTGCATAGGGAGTCTGGCTTCTGACATGAAGTGAGGAAAATACACTGCCTCTTTCTTATCCTACCCATGTAGGCTCTAGGGCAGGGATGGGTAAAATCAGACCAGGGCCGGATTCAGCCCATCAAGCATTTCTCTCCATCCACCCAGCTGATTAGCAGCGTGTGCATACTTTTAGCCGGCAGCATGTGTTCAGCTGCCCCTCCTCCAACCTTGCTCCCTCCTGCAGCTGAGCTGCTCCCAGGATTCTCCTGCTAGCTGTGCAGAGTAGGAGAGGGGAATGCTGAAGTCAGGGTGTTCCCCTGTCCCTGCCGCTGATCTCTGCATAGCAAGGGTTGGGGAGAGGGAGACACGTAGCAGAGATGCTTCAATCTGAAGTGGGGATGGTAAGAGACACGGAGTGCAGAGCGGGAAGATAACATAGCAGGACCGATGTCCCTTAAAGAGACAGAGCGTGGCTTCTCTCAAACTTACCCATCAGCATCCACGCTCTGTGTCACTGTCTCACACACAGTCACTGTCACTCAGGGTACGTCTAAACTACATGGCTCCGTCGACGGAGCCATGTAGTTTAGACGTACCCTGAGTGACAGTGACTGTGTGTGAGACAGTGACACAGAGCGTGGATGCTGATGGGTAAGTTTGAGAGAAGCCACGCTCTGTCTCTTTAAGGGACATCGGTCCTGCTATGTTATCTTCCCGCTCTGCACTCCGTGTCTCTTACCATCCCCACTTCAGATTGAAGCATCTCTGCTACGTGTCTCCCTCTCCCCAACCCTTGCTATGCAGAGATCAGCGGCAGGGACAGGGGAACACCCTGACTTCAGCATTCCCCTCTCCTACTCTGCACAGCTAGCAGGAGAATCCTGGGAGCAGCTCAGCTGCAGGAGGGAGCAAGGTTGGAGGAGGGGCAGCTGAACACATGCTGCCGGCTAAAAGTATGCACACGCTGCTAATCAGCTGGGTGGATGGAGAGAAATGCTTGATGGGCTGAATCCGGCCCTGGTCTGATTTTACCCATCCCTGCCCTAGAGCCTACATGGGTAGGATAAGAAAGAGGCAGTGTATTTTCCTCACTTCATGTCAGAAGCCAGACTCCCTATGCAGTCTATGATCTTGGTCTATGCTGGATGTTTATCTAACGCTTTGCCCTCCTAACAGGGATGTGCCCTTTTCCATTATCTATTTCCCACTGTTTGCCAACATCAACGCATTGGGACAGAGGCACTCTGAGGAGAAGGCACCCTTTATCCATTCTTTTGTGTCTGGCTGTGTAGCGGGATGTGTGGCTGCAGTAGCAGTGACCCCTCTGGATGGTGAGTATCAAATGGCAGCACAGTTTGTCCCACAGAGAGGGAAGAGATGGACTCCTTTAAACTCAGGTTGTTTAGCTGCTTTCATACCACAACCCCACATTTGGCCGGTGCCTCCCTTTGTGCAAGTCCTTGTGGTGTCTTAGAAATGATGACACAAGAACTGATGGTGCTGGTGGCAGACTGAAGCTAGGGGAAATAGGCTCAGGCTCCAACCCCTCGCCTCTCTCTCAACCCTCACCTCTTTTCTGTAGACCTCCCGAACAACACATGACTTACAAACACTGCTATTGGATAATTCTGAGGACATAGACCCTGCTCTTCAGATAACTGCTGCTGAATTCCCTGGAGGCCTGTGATCTCTCACATATGCAAATATTGGTAACTTCCCTAGTTAGGAATCACACTCATAAGAATGGCAGATGTTGCCTTTGAGGGTCAATCGCTATTCTTTAAACAAAATCTTTTCCAAAGGCTGGCACCAGTAAGAGGACCAAGACCCCGGATCAAACCCTAAGGCTACATCTACACTGCAGGTTTTTTGCGGAAGAGGAAATGCAAATGGAGCACTAATTGAGCGCTAAAACCCCCCTTTTGCGCAAGAGCCCTTATTCCTCAAAAAATGAGGTTTACAGGTTCTTGCGCAAAAGGGTTTTTTTTCCTGATAAGTGGCCCTGTCTACACAGGGCTTTTTATCGCAAAAACCTCTTCCACAAAGAGGATTGGAAGAAGAGATGCAAATGAGAGTGTAAGATATGCAAATTAGCACTCCATTTGCATTTCCTCATCCCAAAAAACCCGCAGTGTAGATGTAGCCTAGCTGCTGCTGCTTCATTTTCTTGATGAATAACATTTCCCTTCTGCCCTCAAGGGAGCCAGTTCAGAATGCCCTGGGAAAGGTGGCATTCATGCTAAAATTTGACACTCTCCGCAGGGGAATTAACAAAGACTCCAGCTATCTTACCCATTACAAAGATAGCTTCCCCAATTATCACCTCTAATACTATTAACTCACAGACATTTCCCCTTCCCCACCTCTAATATCATTAACTCACTGGCATTCAAGCTATCTTACCCATTACAAAGATAGCTTCCCCAATTATCACCTCTAATACTATTAACTCACAGACATTTCCCCTTCCCCACCTCTAATATCATTAACTCACTGGC